TGATTGATTGACTGAGTTTGTGATTTGATTATTCATGGATATTGTTGTTACTTATGAAACCGGGATGGGTGGATGGATGGATGATGAATGGCGATGAGGGGACGGCGGATGACGATCGCTGAATCTCGTGCGGAGAGAGAGAGGAAGGAAACCCCACTTTGATTTTTCGCATCGCTGCTTTGCTTTGCTTTCCTTTCGCGTCATCCATCCCCTCCCCATTTCCCCATTCTCAATCCGCTTCATCGCTTAATTCGAAGACTACTTAGTACTATATTACAATGGTATAGTTTGATAACCTCGCTTGCCATCTGTGGCAATTGATCCCCTAAAATCATCTAGCGATGTCCACTAACACCCCCACCAGCCTCACGCAGACTCCTCTTACTTCGGCGCCGGCAATGGCTCCAAATCCGAAGTCTACACTCAGGTCCTAGAGCAAGCTCGAGGTTTGGTATACGACCAGCGTAACTGGGTACGATCTTCTATCCTTGCCCCCTATCCCCTAATTCTCCCCGTTTCCAGTTTCACCAGCTAACCACTCACTCCCCCCACCACGAACAGGTCAGGTAAGAACGCAACCTAAGCCCCAACTATCGCGCCCACTCTCACCCAAGCCTAACAACCAAAACAGCAACTTCTCCAACGTCGCCTCTCTTCTCTGGCACGCCTACGCCGCTCTCCCCGCCCCCTCCTCCTCCGTCAACTGGGCCGGTTTCTACATCCGCCAGGATAAGTTCCCCGTCCTCGGCGCCGCACCCTCCGAAGAAGACAGCAACAAGAAGCCCGTCCTCCTTCTCGGTCCATTCCAGGGCCGTCCGGCATGCCAGGAGATTCGCTTTGGGCGGGGTGTGTGTGGAACGGCGGCGGAGAAGCGCGAGACGGTCGTCGTGCCGGATGTGGAGAACTTCCCGGGACATATTGCTTGCGATGCGAGCAGTCGGAGTGAGATTGTGGTGCCGATTTTGAGTAAGGGGGAGGTGAGTACATATCTTCTTTATATTTCTGGTGGAGGTAGATGGATGGCTGATGTGTATGTGGTGCAGACTGTTGCGATTATCGATATTGATTGTGCGGAGCCCAATGGGTTCGATGATGAGGATAAAAAGTATTTGGAGGAGTTGGCGGCGTTGTTGGCGGAGTGTTGTGATTGGTAATTACTACACAGTAGTATGGTGTGATGTGTATATAGATTAGTCGTTGTGGGTATGATGATTTTGGTATGGTTTTATGATATATAGATTGGTTGAGTATTAACGAGATGGTAGTCATGATGGCTTGTATATTCCCAGTGCGAGATTGCATTATCCCGGGTGTTCTGTTCTTCAATTTCGATCATCGCAACGACTGTGCCAAATGTAACCGTCTAACGCCTGTGCATCGCTGGGGTCTCACGGACCCGAATGTGTCTTCCCAAGATAGTAAACGAAATATAGCGTCTAAATCAAGGCCCGCTATGGCAACCAAACATTTATCCAAAAAAAAGTCTATCAGGCGTCGCTGTATCCCAAATAAAGAAAACGAAAGTGTATGTGTGCCGCTGTTCCATGGAACGAGAAAAAGGATGCGCGTGCGCCAACCAGGGTCGCCCGTGGAATGAACAATATAAAAAGGTGTATCCGAAAAGACGGGAACAATAGAAGAAAACTTAAGCATAACCCCAGAAGAATGGGGTAGACAAGAAAGGGTGGATGGTAACCCGGACCAATGATCGGCTTAGGTGCTGAACATGCTCATTTGCCGCTTCAGAGGACTGATAGATCCTGCATCGCCATCCTCACTGACCCCCAAGCCACTGTCCGTGCCAGTTAACCCGGCATCGGTATCGATATCCCACTCCGTGTCTTCGTCGTCCTCGGTGGCTTCGAGGCCGGCATCCGAAGAGCTGTGCCAGCTCTTTTGAACGGCACCCCGTGTATTCCATCGCAGTGCTCGCTGAACGCTCTGGAACCACTCTCCGCTGCCCGCTACGACGGTCGGGAAGGGGTATTGACTTGCTTCGACGGTAACATAGTCGCCTTGGCGGAGTTCCACACGACCCTTCCCATCGAACGAGCAGTACGCGGTCGACCGGGACCCAGCAGGAACGGCAATACGAAGGAGCAGCGTATCGGAGAGAACCATGGGACGGAAGGAGAGTGTATGGGGACAGATGGGGGTCAGAAGAATGCCGGGAATAGAGGGGTGAATCAGGGAACCGCCAGCGGAAAGAGAGTATGCCGTGGAACCTGGAACCACATGTCAGTCGGCGATCAAATCAGTCTGTTTTGCGCGTCACACGTACCGGTAGGAGTAGAGAAAATGCACCCGTCCGCTTGCACCACGGTGAGCAGATCATTGTCTGCGTACAGTTCAAGGTTTGACACGTAGGGTGACGGCCCGCGATCAATCACGAGCTCGTTCAACACCTCGAACTGTTCCCCTTCCTCCACGGCACCCGCCTCGGCGCCCTTGCTGCGGTCTTTACGGAAGACCGTACAAGTAAAGCGCATCCGCAGGTTCACTCGCATACCTACATCACCCATAACTGCATTCAAGTGAGACTTGTAATTCTCAAATTCGAAATTCGTCAGGAAGCCTAAGCTCCCCAGGGAAAAGCAGAGGACCGGTGGGACAATGCGTTGGAAGAGCCAGGATGTGAAAAGCACGGTCCCGTCCCCTCCTAATGTGAGGACCAAATCGAATTTCTCAGGGGCTGTCCAGCAGAGATCCGGAGTCCAGTAGTGTAACATCTCCTCGAATCGGGGCTCCTTGTCCAGAAGCCCCTGGGCATTGAATCTTCGTGAGTTGCGAAGTTTAGCGTCTACGTAGACATTCACACCCAGATCGTTGCCGTAGCGAGGGGTGGAGAGAAGCCACTCCGCCAATTCGCGGGTCAGATGCACCAGACTGTTATCCCGCGCCTTGGTGACAATCATGACATTCTTGACAGCGCGTTTGATTGGTCTTCGCTGCAATTGCTTCGACACCTCTCGGACGCCTGTCGCTGTCTGTACCAGACGGGAGTGCGATAGCCACTCGTCGTCCGCAATCTCTTCCAATACTTTCTGAATATTTACGGCGTCATCGAAACGCTGGTGGAAGAAGCATGGTGATTGCATGACCAACCGTGCTGTCGCAGGAGAACGGTCCAGGTAGGTGCCTAACTGAATATTGGACAGAGCTGCCGAGAGCATCTGTGACGAGGAATTGCTGGAGGTGCGCTCCGTTTCTTCCGACGAGGTAGGGTTCGTGTTGAGAAGCCCCAAAGAGGCCGCCAGCGGCATATTTGAATTTTGGTGATTGCACATGGATGGTCGTGATGCGAGAGCTTTGAGAAGGGTTTGGCGAGGGATTGAATCGTTAGATAACGCGTTCCGATGATGGCCCGCTAGAGAGGCCGTCTGCCGGCGTGGCAGGAAGGACGTCGTGAAAGCGGGAACAGCGGCGCCCTCACGAGGATGATGATCGGGTTTCTGGAGAGTGCTGGGACCCAGATTGGGAGTCCCGGGAGCCGAGTCGGCCGTGTGGATATCGTTTGCAGTGTGAGAGGGATCTATGTGCGAGGCATAGTCGCGGAGGAGCGACGCTCCCACAGTGGCCGAGCGATGAGGAGGAGGAGGGCGCACCGGAGGAACTGATAGTGGTGGGGCCGCGGAGGAGGGCGGTGGTGGTGGTGGTGGTGATGAGGGCAATGATGTTGAGGAAGACGGCAGAGGGCCAGCTGCGGACGAGGGAGAAGGGTGGTTCATGGAGCCATGGTAAAGCGGGGAGGACGCCATGGACAGATATAGAAATATGACAGATTGTGTGATGCAGGAGCTGGTTGGTTCTGTCAGACGGGAACACAGAAGAGAGAATTTAGGAAAAAATGGGCTTCGATAGGTAATGATGGAATATGCTGGAGACGGAATGGAAAAACGCCGGGGGGGGAAAATAATAATAATAATGGGGAGTAACGAACTCGGATGTAACGGGGTTTGGGCGGGCGCCTTATCCAGTGTAATCCACTTCAAGGTTCATGGCGGCCGTGACCATTGGTCAGGCTAAACACTTTCCTCTGGTCGCATCCACTGGCATCGGTAGTCTAGTCTGCTGGTCGAACTTCGATAGGCTTCCACATCCTTAATAATGAGAGTCAGAGCGGGTGACTGTCATCATTGAAGCCGGGGGGATTCCAGTGCGGGTGGTAGTTAACTCCGCAACAGACACTCCGCGGGCCTGAAAAACCATTGAATGTACCGTAAAGTCCCTACTACCCCAATTAGTAAACTCACCCAAATTTCAAAAGGCCATGGAACATGCACCGAATAGAAAGAGACAGTAGTAAGTAGCTGTCGGAAATGACGTGGGTGATTTCCGAGGCTGACGGAAAAAGTAATGTGGGAATTCGTGGTGAAGCGTACAGTCAGTCAATCAAAAAGGTAGTTAGGGGGGGTGGGATGGAGATGGAGAGAGGATGCATGGTCAGTCCTACTGGAGTTAGTCTAGTGGGTGTAAAGTATGCACCTGCTCTCGCCCGTATTGTCATGATTATTTACATGATTAGTTATTTACCGGCTGAATTCATCCCTCCCATCCCATCCCTTCCCTTTCTTGTTCCACCCACCCCCATTACCTGAAGAGGCCGATCACACATATCACACACATTGAAGAACCTTCCCTTCCCTTTCCCAGGTGCAAGGGAGCATCATACTGTGCAATGTACTTGCGGCATCTGATTGATCCATCAGATTCTTTCAGCTACTACTCTATTCCATTCAGCTGTGCCCGTCGGCGCATGCCTCGGTCGCTCTCCTTTTCACTGGATGTCTCTCTCTCTCTCTCTCTCTCGTCTTCATAGATTACGACCCATTATTACACGTTGCAGAACGCAGGGATGGGGTGGCCTACAGTACTTAGTACTACTCAATTCCACTCACTAGTAATCGTCTTCATCCCACAGATCCCTGAATTTTGGCCAACTCCACACACATCCTTAGCTTTAGCTCTCTAGGACTAGAATGGTCACTTTCTATTAATATCCGGTATATTGCAGCACTCCCCCATGTGGCTGGAGCTGGGGGGTTCGCTTTGCCTTATCGCTGAGAATGTAACTCTTCCGAGACATCTAACTAATGGAGGTGGTTGGCTCCTTTCACGCACGTCCCTCGCCGTGATCCTGCTAGAGGGCTTGTCGGTTCCTGCGACGAATTCCTCCCCTGCCATTCCCTGCGTCCTTCTCTTAGCCTGCCCATCAGCCAGTAGGATATCGTCGATGACAATCCTTCTACACTCGCCCAGAAAGTCTCGTTCGCGCACATGGGTCCGCGTGCTGTCTGAAAAGCTTCCTTCGTGTGCAAGGGGTATGTGTAAAAGCCACCGAAGAATACTAGCGATAGAAGGGACGACAATTCATGGGAGCGACCGCTCGCTGGTTGTAAGCGCCCGTCGCGACTGAATTTACTTAGCTGCCGTGGTATCCGCGGGGTAATCAAGCAGCATCGATCTTCCAGGCGTAGTCGCGGTGGACCTGATCCTCAACGGACTCGCGCATGATCCCCTCCAGGGGCTGGCCATCTACATCCTCCACCATGGCAATGTCTCCATCAGTGCCAACAGCCGGTGTGCCGTGACAGATCGCTGATGCGCGCTGGTGGACCTTCTCCCACGTCTCAAAGTCAAAAGCCCCTGAGCTCTCATTCAGCAGCAGATGGCCCTTGGACGAGAAGGCTAGGGCGTGGAGGGATTTGGCGGTGGCTGCCTGTTGGGTCGACGGCTCCCGGGTGATTTCACCTGATGCATCGACGGCCAGAACAGTCGCAGAGAAGGTCATGGATAGGGGAACAGCGGCCGATAGCAAGGCAAGAAGGGCGGTATGAAGTAGCGCGGGCAGAAGAGTCAGATACTGTTATAGATGTTAAGAGAATGAGTTAGCCGCCAAGCGCCGCCAGCTGAACAGAAGTTGTCCAAATTTCGCCAGTCCATAAAACACGTACCGGTTCTCCTCTTCCTACACTCCCACCTCCGACGATGGCTAGCGTGACCACGACACCACGCCGAGGGTAGCCCCTCTCGCGTCCCAAGATCAATCTTCCGAGGACTCCCTTGATGATTCCCTCGACGTACCGTTCGCTCACACCAGCAGGTGCAGTGCCCGGCTTAACAAATACTTCCACGGTCGCTTCTTCGGGCTTCAAAGCATCTCGGCGTCCGGGAAGCTCGACGGGGGCATTGACAGAGCCCAGGATATTGGATCCAGTGGAGGGACACAGATAGGAAGCCGAGCCATCAGCGCGAGCAAGAGGGGTCAGAGTTGCGGTTGGGCCGACCATGATGACGCGCAATGTATAGGAACAGTTGGAAAGGACTCAAATAGGAAAAGAATGAATGGATAAAGGGGGGGATAGCTGGTTAGTAGTATTTCGCAACTTGATGAGCAGACTTGAGGTGATGCTCTGGACCCCAAAGAGCTTCCAAGGTCGCCTTGGAAATTTTTGGCCGCGGAGCCTGCCGAGTGCGGGCCAGCTTGTGATTGGTGGACTCTCTCCCTGCTCAACTCACTTCATTCTATACAACCGAAGAACCTGAACAGTTGTACGCCTCCTTTCTATGAATGTGCATTTAAGGCTTCCATGGCCTCACTTGGAAATCCTCATCTAGTCCCATATGAATCTCGCTCTCTGCGCTTCGTATCATTTATACATTGCAGATTGAATGATCCGATCTTCTCATCGAATCCTCGATCTCGCATAGTAACAATAACCCATCGACATCCGGCGAGTGACTTACCACCTTTACCAAACGAGGTTGACTAGGAAGTTTAAGATACGAAAAATGGGCAATTTCAGGTACTGATCCAACCTGTCATTATTTAGAACTCTACTTTTAACGAGATTTAGCAACGAGAGCGCTGTTTGATCTTTGTTTAAACCACTCCGTCAGCCGGAAGGATTGCTTCGGATGCCGACTCAAAAGCCGGAGTGTGTGCGACCGAGGGCTTTTCGCCGAAGAGTTCAAGTAGTGGCTCACTTTTGACACACTTGGAGGATGCTATCGTGGTTTCGGTGATTAACCATCGCCGAGGAATACGATATGAGGCAAGGGGCGGGATCAACGAATAACTTCCGTGTTGTATCGCTGTTACACACCGATGGCTGGCATGCTCTTTGGCAGTCTACTGTTCCGACAAGGATAGCCCGAATTGCAGGCCACGAGAGTCCAAAGTAACTTCTCTGGTATTGCCCCCGCAGTGGACCTGGGATCATCACTTCTCTGGGGCCACTGACTGTATTCATGATTATAGTATGTATTGTATCCCACACGGTTTGGATGCCGACATCATATAACCCGACCTCCCAGAGATAGATACTCCGGGTCCGACGATACCAGGGGTGGCATTTAGCATCAGCATGCCTTGTTTTAAAAGCCCGCGGTGCCCACTGGGACTTGCTATGCTGGCATCTGCACCTGTAGTGGGGGCGGTCTTCCTACCAATGCTGCATGTTATTCCTCCTTGGAGTTCATCTTCTCACATCTCCTCCTCCAAGTATTGCCTCTAAGAAATCCTGCAATCATGCCCCGGATACTCTGCCTCCACGGCAAAGGCACCAGTGGTGCCATCTTCAAGTCTCAAACGTGTTGGTTCTACGACCACTCCTCAGTTTAGTCACCTCTCAGCTAACTTGGCTCGTTCTCCTTAGCTGCGCTGCGCGCTCGATTATCTGACCTACAAATCGACTTTGAATTTGTCGATGGGTTTTACTCCTCCGATCCAGCTCCAGGGATCGACCTCTTCTACCCACCCCCTTACTACTCCTTCTGGGAGCAAGACAATATCGAAGCCGTCTTCCACAGTCGCGACTGGCTCGTGAACTACCTAAGAACCAATGGCCCGTACGATGCCCTCATGATGTTTTCGCAGGGATGCGCTGTCGGATCATCCACCGCCCTTCTTCATTTGCTCGAAGAGCCAAATCAGCCCTTGCCCTTCAAAGCTGCCATCTTTATCTGTGCGGGAGTGCCACTACGCGTGTTGGAAAAGGTGGGGTATAAGATTGCCCCCGAGGTCTGGGACAAGGACATTGTGACTCGGAAGGCACTGGCAGCGCAGGCGGACTCCTCGGCGATCTTGTCGCAGGGCTCGATGCGTTGGCAGGGGGAGAAGGGGATTAGTGCGTCTGAAGCGGATATCCGGAAGGAAATTGCGCCTTCAAATGTCCAGATCGACATCCCGACGGTGCATATATACGGTGATAAGGATCCGCGATGGTCAGCTGGCATTCAGTTATCCCAAGCGTGTAATGCAACCAAGAGGAGGATGTATAATCATGGCGGAGGACACGAAGTCCCTCGTACGAACGAGGTGACTACCGGTATGGCCGAGCTGGTGAGATGGGCACTGCGTGAGGCCGCGGTGATTGATGAGTAAACAACCTGCGCCAACTGTCGACGATTCCCTCTCGATGATCACTTTTCCATATAAAGTGCTATAGATTTTTTCCTAATTTATCTGAATACATTATCTTGCGTTCGGCAACATGTGGGCCAATGTACCAATGTATGGTGAGTATAGATGTTCGAACAGCAACAGGCGCATGCGAAATAATCTTCAGTAATGAACTACTCAGTCTAGCAATTAAATTATCTCATGTATACTGCATCCTTTTGTTTATTTGTTTTTTTTCTTTCTTTGGAAATTCCCATTTCTTTACTACTAACACCTAACTTACCGAGCCGTTCAAGTTTCCAGAGTTCTGATCGGTCTCGTGATCATACACCCAAGTTGTCTTCGCTTGAGGATCGAAGCGGACTTGGTCTTTCTTCCACATCAGTGCAACCCCGAACAGTTGGACCACGCCGCAAGCCCCCACTGCGTACATCTGACGATTATAGCCATGTGCATACGCGGTCCGGATCGCTTCCTGGACACTCATCGGCAATCCCGTGAGGTGATTCGGGTCTGCAGCAGCCTCAGCGGGCGCGAGATGCCCCTTGACGTAATTGGTCAAAATGCTATTCACAGTAGCGATGCCTAATGAGGCACCCAACATGCGTGCCTGGAGGGTCAAGCCCATTACAATGGCTAAAAGGATGTCAGTTGGAGTTGGTCGAAAAAGTGAAGCATTGGAACTGGATCCCCTTATTGTATCGGACTGACCTTGTTCACAATGTCTGACCACCAAGGGAACCGCCATATACAGGGCCGCGATGGATATCCCGGTGCCCAGACCAGTCAAAACCATGTATCCATACTCGCCCGGCCAGGCGTTCACAGTGGGAGGCACGGAAGACAGCAGAAAGGCCCCCACTATCTGTAGCACGGACCCAGCTAGCGTCAGATGCACAAACGGGGTTCTCAAGCGACCGGCGAGGACGCTGCAGCAAAATGCCCCCGCAGGGGATCCCACCCCAAAGGCAAGAACTCGGAGACCCGCCTCGATGGGGGTGAAGTTATTGACCGTTTGAAATCTCTGGGGCAACTCGATGTATAGTATAGTGATTGCAGGCCCGGTTGAGAAGAAGCCACTGCGCGACCGTCAGAGCTCCCATGTCCATGTTTAGCGAACTACGTACTACTAGATGACCATTATGGGGCGGAGAGGGCAAGTATCCACTAACATGATGATTCCCAACACCACCCTGCTTTTGAACAACCGCCATGGGAGCATTGGCTCTATGCGCACGTGCTTCCGGCTACTGAGGATCCACTCCCACGCCAGAAAGGCCGCCAGAAGGACACCCGAACCGGTTAAACACCCGATAATGATCCCCGATGACCAGGCATAGCGAACGTTGGCTTCCTCCAAGGCGGCCACTAGCAGCAGGGAAAATCCCAGAAGGAGCAGATATCCTAACAGGTCCGCCTGGGTTAGATATTGATGCAAGTTGCTCTGCGCAGTACGACTTGTTAATCTTCGAGGAAAGTTCTTCGGAAAGAACAGGCAGAGCATAATCCACGCCCATCCTCCCGCAGGCACGCTAGAGACAAGGATTAGGAATAGAGCGACACAACAGGAAGGAGTCTAGTCTGCTATGATCTTACTTGAAGAGAAAAACCCAGCGCCACGAGCTGGAGCTGCTAATGCCACCTCCGATCAGCGATCCTAAGATAAGGGCGAATGTCAGCACGCAGGACCCCACGGCATTGGCAACCTCAAATCTGTTCGGAGGCACAATGCGCAGTAGGGTATGTAGTCCAAGCGCGAAAAGTCCGGAGCCACCGATCCCTTGAAAAGTGCGGCAGATAATCCTTTCGTTTTGTCAGCAACAAGGTTCGATGCCCTCAAATCAGGATCCCCGAAGCCGGCTTACAGTTGGTCGATGGTTTGGGCGGCACCACAGCCCCCGGAAAAAGCAATGAATAGGAGCAGACTGCTCAACAAGGTTGGCTTGAGACCAAAAGCAAGCGCACATTTAGACCAAGGCGCGAGGAATCCGGTGTAGGTTAGAAGGTATGATGTGATGACCCAACTGCTTTGATCGCCTCCTTCAAGGTGTTCGCTGATGGTGACAAGCGATGTGCTGATGACTGTAATCTCAGCGGTGGCTAAGAAGAGACCCAGCCCGACACTAGTTATCGCGCGATAATCTGCATTAGGATGCATTCTACCAATCCTGGTCGGAGAAATGATTGCGTTCGCTTACCTGGCCCCTACAATCCATAGTCGAAGCCCGTGCAAATATCCCGGTCGGGATATCTGACTCTGAGGCTCAACTACCGAATGGTTGAGATTGTTTTTGTGAGTAGCTTCGGGCCTTGACAATAATGGCTTTGGGGTCACTGCTGGTAGATCTATCAACTCGGTTCTCGAGCCATGCAACTCAAAACTGCCCATGGTTCGGAGTTCGGAGTGAAGTGAGCCCCACTCAATCGACTAGAGAGACGCCAAAACTGATCTGTCTTGATGCGATCAATAGTGGATGTGTGACTTATCGTCAGATGCGTTTGTAACCTTCGGCCCCAATTCAATTAATCTTCGAACCTCGTCGATGAAGGGCTAGAGGAGATCCGCAGGACTGGCTTTCTTTTCTGGGAATTTCATACGGAAAAGAACATCTTCGTAGCTATGTTGATCGAGTTCAGCCACCAATGCAATACGCAATACTTGGCTGCTCCCCAGCCGGCGGAACTACGGGGTATGTGGCTAATCAAGAAACTAAAAGGTAGTTGAGTGGTGTGTGGAACAAACGCGAAGAACCATGAAGGGTTGCTTTGTCAAATGTTATGAACTCCTACATTCCCGTCCCCATCGATTAACTATATAGTGTGGAGATCAACATAGCGCTGCCCCCTTGGGGTGCATCAATAAGTGGATGCCGTCTCAACTGCCCTGCGAATAATATTGACAGCTTGGGTCACATCTTCCATTGACCCTCCGCCGGGAACTTCGTGCCCTCGTCCGTGAACATACACCCATCTCACCTCAGCCTTGCAGACACTATTTGACGTGGCTACCCGGCTGGCTGGCTCGTCTAGTGAGCCCCAAATGTGGGCTGTTGGAATTGGAATAATGCCTTTGGTAGCTTCAAGATCAACAGTCATCACACGACCTTTCTGAAGAGCTTCGTAATCAAGAGGGGGATGGGTGATCGAAAGGATAATTGCAAACTTGAATGGCATCTCAGCCCGAGGATCCTGCTTGGCAAGATGAATCAGGTACGTGAGGATCATCGTGCCTGCTTGGCTGAATGCGATGACCCCGTCATAGGGCCCCTCTTCAAGAAGGTACTCTTCCAAATAGTGATAAGCCGCAAACCCAGTTTGGGGGTTGTGCTCATCGAAGTAGGCATACACTGGTTCATCCTTCCAAGCCACCACATCAATACCTGTACCTCCTGCATTTAGCCGACTAGTTCGCGAGGGGTCTGTTCTCCGGCTACGGTACCTGGCTGCATCTTGGAAGGAACGGTTCCTTCAACAAAATCATAGATGTGATTATCGCCCAGTTCATACCGAATGGCAGCCGTCTGGATCTCGAATATCTTTGATGAAGAAGAGTATCGGTTAGTCCAAAAGATCGCATGAAAATGATATCGCTATCTAGGGCCAGTACTCACTCGAGAATTGGTACCCGCCCCATGTAGACTATCGAGAGGTCAGCATCAAAGAACTAATGTTGACAGCAAGTTCCACAGCAACATTACCAGAGAATGCGCATTCTGGATGGTCTAAGAAAATGTAAATTATTGTTGAGGGTCCTTACCTTCAGCAACTGGACTGGCACATCCATTTATCCCCGCGGGTTTGGGTGTCTGGCATTCTACGGAGGGTTACACACATTCCTCTGTGAGCAAGATTGCAGACTAACACTTAGCTGCATGAACCTAGTAATCCTATCATAATTTAGGACTTGACCAGTTCCAATAATGTTCCACCAACATATTGCTTTTGATGAATAGTCTTCAGGCTATGCAGGAATGCACGGCCATTTGTCAGACCTCACGGGCACACTGACAATCAGGCTTCCGGCCAAGAGCATCGATGGCGGGGCTAATAACTTCGCCTTGAGAGCTAAATAGTCATTAGCCATCTTCTGTCCTTGCTCACCCCGGCGATCTGTGATATCAATCGGGAAATGGCCATTTGAGTAGGTAAACCCCGAGCTTAAGGATCTAGAGCTTACTAAATAATTTCCTCTTAAAAGCCTACCTTACCAGGCACTCCGTTGCTCAAACCTAGTCATACCCTATTGCATTAGACATGCGCTGTCGGCTGTTGTCCATCTAAACGACTTTAGTATATCTTGATCATGGTGACCTTTTCCGGAAACAAGGCCCACAATGCCGCCGAAGGGAACCTCCTCACTCCTCTAGCCGTCGTTGGGATGTCGCTGAAATTCCCAGAAGATGCGACATCCCCGGAAGCGTTTTGGAAAATGTTGGTTGAAGGTCGATGTGTCTCTACGGAGTTTCCCAGTAATAGAATGAATATCGATGCCCATCACGATGCTGAACGAGGCCGACTTCACAGCGTCACATGCCGAGGTGCACACTTCATGAAGGAGGACCTTGGTTTTTTTGACGCCCCCTTCTTTGGGATCACTGATGCCGATGCGAAGGCTATGGATCCTCAACAGCGCCTTGCGTTAGAGACAGTTTACCGTGCGCTAGAGAATGCCGGGCTTCCGATCGAGCAGGTTGCAGGCTCCAAGACCAGCGTCTTCGCGGGCTCTTTTTGTAGCGATTACCATATGCTGCAGATTAAGGATCCGCTCAATGTGCCTAAGAATGCCACGGCAGGAACTGGTCGGAATATGATTGCGAATCGCATCAGCTGGTTCTACGACTTCCTAGGTCCTAGCGCGACTGTTGATACCGCCTGCTCAAGCAGTCTGATGGCGGTGGATCTGGCCTGTCAATCTATATGGGGCGGAGATGCTGCAATGGTATTTCAATCCCTTTCCCTCTTGATTATTGGTCTAGTATAGA